GAACCAAATCGTAGCTTTCTAACAAAACATCGCCTGAAAAAGGTCTCAAAATGCAGAAAAACTGCATGCAAAAAGCAAATAGGCTAGATATGGCTCAGTTGATAAAAAACAGTGAATATATCTCTTCACCTTTTGCAGTACACATAACACTCGGATTTAAATCCGAGGTTTCCGCATTTATTCATCTATTTGTCTAATGCTATGTAAATGTGATATTAAATTAAAATTGATAGTAGGATGATTGACAAAAAATTTTTCATTATTAAGCAATAAAATTTGACTTTGTTTCAATGTCTTTTGTTATCTATATTATTGAATAACAATCGAGTTTTATATTTAATGAAAAAAAATACACGAAATACAAAAACAAGATTATTTTATTAATGTTTACCATTCATCATCATATTCAAATAATTTTTGTCTTTTAATTCCTCTTGCTTTTTCTTTTTGTTCAATCAGTTGTTCGATTGTTGAACTCATTTTCTTATCTAATGGTAGATCACTATAACTTCTTGCTTTTTTTATTGGCTTTTCAGTTGCATCAGAAGATGGTACATCGACTGTCTATAATAGATGTCAATAAAGAAAAGAAAAGAATAATTAATTTTAGAAGTTAAACTAAAAAACTTACAGTTATAGTTGTTGTTGTAGCTTCTTGAGTTGATGTAATTGCATCTTTATCAACATAAACTCGTTTATTAGATCTTCTATTAGTTGGATCAATATCAAAAAGATGATTAGGTTCTTTAATTTTTATTGCTGAAGGATCAAGTCGATTATATTCAGCATAAGGAGTAATTATTAAATTTTTATCATTTGTACGCATTTTTGTTAACACTAAAAACCAACGAAAATATTTTTATTCATTTCTAGTTTTTTTTTCTGAAAAACAATCTTAAAGGAATATTGAAGTATAATGTTAAAAATTTGAAATCCTCTATGGAACACGACAAATACTAGTCAAAGACCATAAGAGACTGTAGACGTAGACTGTCAGAAGTCATGATAGATGCCGTAGCAAGGTTCCCGCTTTTCCGTGACAGGCACTTTAGTAACAGTTCTTCTGCCCTCTCTGTCAAAGATTGTATATCAGTATCATCTCGTTTTTTAACACGAACAACTTGCTTATTTCATTTCTGAAGGATTAAGTAAAAGTACGGTGAAGAAATATATCTGAAAATAGCTCGAATAAAACAATCTCCTAGTAATTATCAACAGTAGGCACATCATATTTTATATTTGAATTCTACAGGATTCGTGCCAAGAGCTTTATTTGTCTATTTACTTGTCTCTATTGTATCTTTTTTCAATGATACTGCAACAATATGTGTTGTTAAATCGAATCGATCATATGAAAGAAGATTCCATTGAGAAAAAACTTCACGAATATTTGCTGTTGACAATGTTTGAGGATGAGTTACATAAAAAACACAAGATCGATCAGGTAAATCTTCAATAAACAAGAAAAAAAAGAAATATTAGAAATTTATTCTTATAAAATATGATTTGTTTACCATCATCATTAAGTACATCAGAATATTTCAGATCAAATGATCGCATATAAAATAATCTAAAGAATTTTCATTTTAATATTTTATTGAAGAAATATTTCAATCTTACTTTCCAGTAAATGTATCGATTAATACATGTTCAATTGGATTTTGTTTAAAATCAGTTTTTTCCGCTAAAAAGTAAAATATAAATAAAAAAAAAAATTTTTGTTTTTTTT